TCTGTTCATCTTGTGTGCCCTCCTTTTGATTACTGATGCTGCTTTGTTAGTGTTCACAGAAAGGCAACTGCTACTGATAAGCTGCTGATAAATTTATGCTGCTCTGTACGCTTCTGTGGATTTTGACTGCTGTGTATGTGGTTGTCTGTTCACTTCACTTCGCTTCGTTGTGTTTGTATGTGTTTTCTTAGTGCCTTCTTTCAATTGTTTGTCAACGGTGCTGTCAGCGCAAATCAATAGCAGCTGACAGTTGTGTCAATCAACAGGACAAGACAAATGATGAGCAAGCATGTGTTTGTGAGAGAAAACTTATTCTGTCAACTAAAAAGCAGCTTGATGATAAATGGAAAAATGCAAACTGAATTGGGGACAAGTTAAAAACGATTAATAATTCTGGTTAACAAAAAATCGATCAGTTATAAATTTAATTTATTTGCTGCACTCAAAAAAACTAAAATATTGAAAATAATATTTGTTTGTTGAAAAAGATTAAGTTACTCATTGCTCAATAGCATTTTCTTTCTTTCCAGCAAGGCTAAAAGAAATAAGGAAAAACGTGAAAAATACTGTAGCGTTTTTCTCCTTTTTTCACTCTAAACTTTGCCCTATCAATGTACGAGTTATCAACACTACACAGCGATCGCAATCAGTTCGTCTGGCTGGCTGGCTGGTTGGCCAATAAACAGGGCGCACTTTCAATAAAAAAAAGTAGAAACCTCACACACAAAAAGGTGCCGCCAATGGCAATCTAACAGATTTGATAAAGAGTAAGAAAAGAAGAAACAAAAAAAGAAAAGAAAAGATTGAAATACAGCCAAAATCATTCATTCACTACACCACTCACTCACTACTCAACTCGGACTTTGTAAAAGTAAGTTTACAGATTAGGAAAAATAAACCCAAAAAACTGCTCACATTTTACAACCACAATTTTTTTGGTTTCACTTTTTACAGTCTCTGTCTCTCTCTCTCTCGGCAATGACTCGTCCCGTTTTGGCCACCCGTCCGGCGGCAGCCACGACAGCGGCCGGGGCGGCGGTGCCCACTGACTTTTTCCGCATCATTCCGCGCCGCCTGTCCTGGTGCACCACCGGAAACAACAAACGGGCAATCATCATCACCTTCCTAGTCTTTCTTCTGCTCACCACCTGGGGCACCAGCCTGTGGGCGGCCTGGAGCCTGGTGAAAGAGGTGACCTGCTTTGCCATTTCATCATCTCAAGGTGAAGAGGATGGTGATGACTTTTCGGTGGAGCAGCTGTGGAAAGTGGTCCTCTTCTACTCCTCGATCCTCTCCTTCTGCGTGCCGGCGGCCATTTTGGCGCTTTTTTGCGCCCTTAAATTGACCCGAAGACAGTCGATTTTGGGTGGTCTGGACGTCATTGACTTTGGCGAGAGCAGTCATCATCGCGGCTGCAGCTGCCAGTTGCAACTGCTTCGTCCAAATGACATTGAGAAGGTGTAAGCGAAGTAAAGTGTAAAGGATTGTAGTGTAAAGGTTTTGCATGTGAGCATTTTTAAATAGAAAAAATTCCTATTTTTGCTTGGTATTATTTTAATAGTTTTTTTTGTGCAGTTGAGTTGAGTGCGATTGCTGCTGCTGCAGTGTTGTGTTGTGCTTGTTTGATTTACGGTTTAAAAAATTGGCCCTCCACTGCTGCTGCCGCTTCATTGCAGCATTTGTCGGTTGGCATTTGTCTACCTGCAAAGTAAAGGGGAGATTTGAAATCTGCTTATTTATTAGCACTATTGACTATTGGCTCCTGCCTCTCTCTCTCTCTCTCTCTCTCTCTCTCTCTC